AGTTGTTGAAAGAATAAATAAAGGATAGTGATCAAACTTCTTTTTGTCTTTTTCATTGTCTTCATCTTATGTAAACATAACTGCCTTCGTATTTGAGACAGCTTATGCATTAAATTCGATTGTATCTATATTTTGAGCATGTCCAGTTTTGACATGTGTCTGCTGGAGTACTCTGTATTGATAACTGTTAACGTGATGATAGCCGCCATCGTGAAACACCTAATCTGCAGTACAGTAGCATAATATTATGCCTTCTGACTGGTTAAAAAAATGAAAACAAAGAAGAAATCATGTCAATAGAGCCCAAAATGGAAGATTTAAAAAATCCTGTCAATAGTGCCAAAAATGGCACTACTGACAGGACGATCCTGTCAGCAGTGCAGTATTTCCTGTTATTGACAGGATCGTCCTGTCAGCAGTGCAGTATTTTCTGCTATTGACAGGACGATCCTGTCAGCAGTGCAGTATTTTCTGCTATTGACAGGACGATCCTGTCAGCAGTGCAGTATTTTCTGCTATTGACAGGACGATCCTGTCAGCAGTGCAGTATTTCCTATTATTGACAGGATCGTCCTGTCAGCAGTGCAGTATTTCCTATTATTGACAGGATCGTCCTGTCAGCAGTGCAGTACTTTCTGCTGTTGACAGGGTGATCCTGTCAATAGCCTCAGGCCCTACCAAACACTGAAGCCTGTGGCTATTGACAGGATCGTCCTGTCAACAGCAGAAAGTACTGCACTGATGACAGCATCCCGGCAGAACGTACTGCGCCTGCGCAAAATCCGTAATGTTTTGTGCATAGCACTTCGGCAGAACGTCTCATATAAGGTTGTATTAGCGCATATAAGGTTAACAGCCCGTCTGTAGTATTCAAATGTTGTGTAGGATAAGATATCTTCTGCAAAAGGCAAAATTCTCATGCAAAAGTAACCAAATATCCGACGAAAAACGGGTTTTGCGCAGGCGCAGTACGTTCTGCCGGGGTGCTACTGATGACAGGATTGTCCTGTCAATAGCAGAAAACACTGCACTGCTGACAGGACGATCCTGTCAATAGCAAAGAATACTGCATTGCTGACAGGACGATCCTGTCAATAACAGGAAATACTGCACTGCTGACAGGATTTTTCCTGTCAGCAGTGCAAATCATTCTACTATTGACAGGATCGATAAAATGTTGGTATTTTTATTTCATACTGGAAATTTTGGGGGTGGGCGCTGGTTCGTGTAGGTCTTATGTAGGTGTTATTATGTATGCTATCAGGCCATTTTTACGATAAGTACGAAAAGAAGAGGAAAAACTTTTTTTTAATTCGTTGGAAAATTCGTTGGAGACGAGTAACTGGCGTGGCTAATCGCTGGGACGATCAAGACGGAAAGAAATAGGGGACGCTACTGTCAGTTCAGACCATATCGTCTTGACCAATCAGGCTACGCCTTGTGTAACCGGTCACTGCTACATCTGGAATTCATTTACACGGCTTTTCTCAGAAACCGCTCCGTAGAAAAACTTCATTTTTTTACGATCCTGTGCTGCGGCCCCTGCAGATCGTCGTGACTGCATACATCGATCCCCCGATCGGTAGCGCGTGCGCCTGGCCTCCCGTAAGCAATGCGGCGGCAGTGCGTGCCTGTCGCCCCGATTAGCCTCTACCAGGCACCGCGGATCGCTGGAAAAATAGTAGAAATTGGCCGAAATAAAGGAAATATGATGGTAGCGGACAAATACGGTTTCTCCGACCCAAAATCTATCGCCAAATACTAGTAAATGCCGGACTCTGGCACCTAGGGTTAACCGTCAGACGTGCTAACAGTAACACAACAACCCGCCCCCCAGTAACACTAACCAGCTTGCCAGGCCCTGCAGCGTGCCTTTGCCGGTACTGTGGGGCCCAGTGGGGCCGGTAAAATTCGGTGGCCAGCTGGATACGCGCGCCAGGGGGCTGTTGTTGTTAGCGCGCCGGCTAGCTGAACCGGCCACACCAGCGGTACTCTCCTGGATTTGTTCCATCTGATTTTTAACATTAACGTTTGTTGAATTCAAAGTTGTTGAAAGAATAAATAAAGGATAGAGATCAAACTTCTTTTGTCTTTTTTATTGTCTTCATCTTATGTAAACATAACTTCCTTCGTATTTCAGACAGCTTATGCATGAAATTTGATTGTATTTATATTTTGAGCATGTCTAGTTTTGACATGTATCTGCTGGAGTACTCTGTATTGATAACTGTTGACGTGATGATAGCCGCCATCGTGATACGTCTAATCTGCAGTACAGTAGCATATGCCTTTTGACTGGTTAAAAAAATGAAAACAAAGAAGAAATTATGTCAATAGAGCCCAAAATGGAAGATTTAAAAAATCCTGTCAATAGTGCCAAAAATGGCACTACTGACAGGACGATCCTGTCAGCAGTGCAGTATTTCCTGTTATTGACAGGATCGTCCTGTCAGCAGTGCAGTATTTTTTGCTATTGACAGGACGATCCTGTCAGCAGTGCAGTATTTCTTGTTATTGACAGGACGATCCTGTCAGCAGTGCAGTATTTTTTGCTATTGACAGGACGATCCTGTCAGCAGTGCAGTACTTCCTGCTGTTGACAGGACGATCCTGCCAATAGCCTCAGGCTTTTTTAAAAGGTCGGGAGTATTTTTCTTGCACTTCTAGCACCTCAGAGGGACGTTAGGAATGCAAGAAAATTTTTTCCGACCATTTCCAAAAGAAATAGCGACTTTGTTAAAATTCGCCTGTATAACGCGTTTCAGGCTCTAAATCATAGGTTTTGCACGAAAAAAACCGACCAAATTTTTTTTATACGTATAATGTGCGGAAATTTTTTTAAAAGGTCGGGAGTATTTTTCTTGCACTTCTAACACCTCAGAGGGACGTTAGGAATGCAAGAAAATTTTTTCCGACCATTTCCAAAAGAAATAGCGACTTTGTTAAAATTCGCCTGTATAACGCGTTTCAGGCTCTAAATCATAGGTTTTGCACGAAAAAAACCGACCAAATTTTTTTTATACGTATAATGTGCGGAAATTTTTTAAAAGGTCGGGAGTATTTTTCTTGCACTTCTAACACCTCAGAGGGACGTTAGGAATGCAAGAAAATTTTTCCGACCATTTCCAAAAGAAATAGCGACTTTGTTAAAATTCGCCTGTATAACGCGTTTCAGGCTCTAAATCATAGGTTTTGCACGAAAAAAACCGACCAAATTTTTTTATACGTATAATGTGCGGAAATTTTTTTAAAAGGTCGGGAGTATTTTTCTTGCACTTCTAACACCTCAGAGGGACGTTAGGAATGCAAGAAAAATTTTTCCGACCATTTCCAAAAGAAATAGCGACTTTGTTAAAATTCGCCTGTATAACGCGTTTCAGGCTCTAAATCATAGGTTTTGCACGAAAAAAACCGACCAAATTTTTTTTATACGTATAATGTGCGGAAATTTTTTTAAAAGGTCGGGAGTATTTTTCTTGCACTTCTAACACCTCAGAGGGACGTTAGGAATGCAAGAAAATTTTTTCCGACCATTTCCAAAAGAAATAGCGACTTTGTTAAAATTCGCCTGTATAACGCGTTTCAGGATCTAAATCATAGGTTTTGCACGAAAAAAAACGACCAAATTTTTTTTATACGTATAATGTGCGGAAATTTTTTTAAAAGGTCGGGAGTATTTTTCTTGCACTTCTAACACCTCAGAGGGACGTTAGGAGTGCAAGAAAATTTTTTCCGACCCATTTCCCCAAAAGAAATAGCCGTACGTTTGTTAAAATTCGCCTGTATAACGACGTTTCAGGCTCTAAATCATAGGTTTTGCACGAAAAAAAACCGACCAAATTTTTTTTATACGTATAATGTGCGGAAATTTTTTTAAAAGGTCGGGAGTATTTTTCTTGCACTTCTAACTCCTCAGAGGGACGTTAGGAATGCAAGAAAATTTTTTCCGACCATTTCCAAAAGAAATAGCGACTTTGTTAAAATTCGCCTGTATAACGCGTTTCAGGCTCTAAATCATAGGTTTTGCACGAAAAAAACCGCCAAATTTTTTTTATACGTATAATGTGCGGAAATTTTTTTAAAAGGTCGGGAGTATTTTTCTTGCACTTCTAACACCTCAGAGGGACGTTAAGAATGCAAGAAAATTTTTTCCGACCATTTCCAAAAGAAATAGCGACTTTGTTAAAATTCGCCTGTATAACGCGTTTCAGGCTCTAAATCATAGGTTTTGCACGAAAAAAACCGACCAAATTTTTTTTATACGTATAATGTGCGGAAATTTTTTTAAAAGGTCGGAGTATTTTTCTTGCACTTCTAACACCTCAGAGGGACGTTAGGAATGCAAGAAAATTTTTTCCGACCATTTCCAAAAGAAATAGCGACTTTGTTAAAATTCGCCTGTATAATGCGTTTCAGGCTCTAAATCATAGGTTTTGCACGAAAAAACCGACCAAATTTTTTTTATACGTATAATGTGCGGAAATCTTTTTAAAAGGTCGGGAGTATTTTTCTTGCACTTCTAACACCTCAGAGGGACGTTAGGAATGCAAGAAAATTTTTTCCGACCATTTCCAAAAGAAATAGCGACTTTGTTAAAATTCGCCTGTATAACGCGTTTCAGGCTCTAAATCATAGGTTTTGCACGAAAAAAACCGACCAAATTTTTTTTATACGTATAATGTGCGGAAATCTTTTTAAAAGGTCGGGAGTATTTTTCTTGCACTTCTAACACCTCAGAGGGACGTTAGGAATGCAAGAAAATTTTTTCCGACCATTTCCAAAAGAAATAGCGACTTTGTTAAAATTCGCCTGTATAACGCGTTTCAGGCTCTAAATCATAGGTTAGTAGTATGTTATGGACAGGATAGGTATTATTTGCGGCGCTCCTCCACCTGTTATGTGGCGGAGTACAGTGGCGCAGACTAGGTGTGGTCCCTCGGAGGTGTAGAGGTCACGTGAAGGTCAATGTGGCATACCAGACGCCGCGGGAGGTCGTGTCGGGCGGCATCGTTACTTAAGGGTAGGTTGTGTATGTATCGCTGTGTCAGTATGGAGGTGTTGAAAACCCAAACGGAAGACATATTTCGTCACCTGCTCCACCACAGAGCTCCCAACGTGTTTCCTAGAAACGGGCGACTTGAAAATAGAGCCATATACCGTAAGGTTGTGCAAGTGTCAAACGATGTGACGGAGAGGAAAGAGTGGGCTGATCTCCTCTGCTGTTTTGTCTCTACAACAACAACAACAAACGGGGCTTCACGACTGAGAGCCCTGCTAGAAAACGTGCTTAACGAGGATGGATTGAGCTGGGGGCGTGTCATCATCGCCATGATTTTTGCTCTGGATGTCAATATTAAGTTACACGGGTCACAAACGAACCAAGAAAACGCGATATGCTCAGAGTTAGCCGAGTTGATGTGCGCCATAGCGGGGAGGTGGCTGTTACGACGCGGAGGGTGGAGTGGGATGATTGACGCTGCAGAACCGTCGATATTCGTGGCTGTTGTGAACCTTATCTGTCGTATGTGGACTGCGCCTGTTTGCGTTATTGTATCGTGACTATGAACAGGATCTAGAACGTGTCTGTGAACATCTGCTTGCTGATTGGTCATGGTGTAAGAAGATTTCTGTATAAAGACAGACGAACTTTGGTCTTGTTCACTTGCGCCCTCTCAACGCTTCCGACTGGCAAGGACCCGACGACAACTCTTGCTGAGCGATGGCTGCTACAGATCCCGTGCAGACTCCGAAAATTCATAGCAACAGTAACAAAAACGGGACAGAAATCAGATTCCCCTTGGGGGGAAACGTCTACGCTACAGCTGGGCATTTTCGAAAAAAAGTGGAAGTAAGTTTGCGTCATTTTCACAGAACTTTTCTGCGGCCTAACCGGAAATTGAAGGGCGATACTAGGACTGGGGTGTTTCTAACCCCTGAACAATGGCGGACTCTGAAACTTAACATGTCGGGTGTGTCGGCGGCTCTACAGGCCTATACGGCTGCTGCTATGCCTGACGACCCGACTCTGTTCTCACCTCGCCGGTTTAACCTGGGAAACCTGACCTACGCCATCGTACAGATATCAAGAGGGGAGATCGTTGTGACAATGCGAGAATATTTCCAGCGACGGCCAGAATTCCGACGCGGGCCACCAAACGATGATTTTGACGACCTTCTACCGGGAAAGAGATGCCTTAAGTTATCTGCCGCACAGTGGTATGCACTGGAGGAGAACAGCCAGAAGATAGATACGGTACTTGAAGCAGTGACAGAGAAGACAGACTTCCTGACCGACAAGCTGCTGAACAACATCGTGGGCTGTGACGTGTGACCTTCTTCAGATATAGTGCTGTGGCGCTCCACATTCTGGTCTATGTGGTGCGCGTGTTATTGTATCGTGAAGGTGAACAAGATCGAGAACGTGTTTGGACATGTCAACAAAGCTGCCTGCTGATTGGTCAAGGCGTAAGAAGATTTCTGTATAAAGCCAGACGAACTTTGTCCCTCTTCACTTGCGACTTCTCTGCGTTTCGGACTACCAAGTACAGGACAACTCTTCGGCGAACGATGGCTGCTACAGATGTCAGCAATTGGCTGAACCAGCCGATATACCAGGGCCATTTGTACACCGACGCAACAACGCAGACACCACCGCCACGCGACGAACCGTCTGCGGGCGCATCGCTGTATTCGACCGCAAGTTTGCCTGCCGACCCCGTACCGTCCCCGACACCGAAGATGCACATCAGCAGTGGTAACGACGGAGCGGAAATCAGATTCCCCTTGGGGCAAAACGTCTTCGCTACTGCTGGACATTACAAAGGAAAAGCAACGCTGTCTCTCCGTGATTTCTACAGACCACGGCCAGACCAGGAGGACGTATGGAAGGGTGGCAAGAAGGGGGTGGTTCTAACCCCCGAACAATGGAGGACTCTTAAGCGCAACATGTCCGGGGTTTCGTCAGCTCTGCTGGCTTGTACCTTCGCCGCCATGCCCTACGACACGACCGTGTTCTCACCTCGCCGCTTTCACCTGGGAAACCTGACATACGCCATCGTGGAGGTCTTCAAAGGGTCAGCGGTGGTGGCAATCAGAGAATTTTATCGACGAAGCCCAGAAGACGCCAACAATCTACTACCGGGCAAGAAAGGGCTCAACCTATCTGCAGAACAGTGGAAGGAGCTGCAGGAGCACAGTCAGAAGATTGATGCGGTACTTGAAGCTGTGGCAGAGAACACAGCGGTCCTTACCGACAAGCTGCTGAGCGACATTGCTGGTCTGTGATGTGTTGTCCTGAATAAAGCTTCCTGTGGTCCGAACGCAGGCAAAGACGTGATATCTGTGTGTGTGTGGTCTCTTAAGAGTGGTTTAGATAGATAAGTAGATAGCCGGTATAAATACCGAGACTAGTAAGTTGTCAGCTCAGTCTTACAGTGAAAGAGTTAGAAGAAGCAGCACCCATGTCTTGTCTTCCTAACGTCTTTAACTTCGGTGAAATCGCTTGGGGGTTGGTGGAACGCATTCATTGTGCGTTCATGTGCATAGGAGGGCGAATGTTTATTTTCCTCCGCGGTCTGGGATGGTTTCCAAAAATCGTCGGAGGAGGAGGGGGACCAGGAACGCAGGACGGAGCAGAGAGACCGAACCCACCAACAAAGATGAAGCATGGCACGACGTCCTCCACGGGGTTTACTACGACCCTAGACACCCTGCAGGGTATAGTGGAGTGGGACGGCTCCACCGAGCCGTCGGTAGCAAGTTCGGAATCAGCAGAAAGCAAGTAGGAGAGTGGCTTCGGTCTCAAGACCCATACACCTTACACAAACCCATCAGGCGTCGGTTTGAAAGAGCTAGAGTGATAGTAGGCGGTATAAATGATCAATTCCAGGCCGACTTAGTGGACATGTCATCTCTCTCCCGACACAACGACGGATATCGCTATCTCCTTACCTGTATAGACATATTCTCCAAATACGCCTGGGTCGTGCCAATCAAAGACAAGAAGGGCACCACTCTGGTGGAAGCCTTTCAAACCATCCTAGCCAAGGACGGACGGAAACCAAGATGCTTGCAAACAGATCAGGGAACCGAGTTTCTCAACCGACACTTTCAGACATTGCTGAAAAAAGAAGGGATCGAATTCTTTACAACCTTCAACGTGGAAACCAAGGCCAGCGTCGTAGAAAGGTTCAATCGCACGCTGAAAACGAAGATGTGGAAATATTTCACGGCGGCAAACACTAATAGGTACATTGACGTCGTCGACGATTTGGTGTGGGCCTACAATCACTCACATCACAGGAGTATCAAAAGGGCGCCGGTTGATGTTAATAGGAAGAACGAAAATGTTGTGTGGTATACCCTGTACGGAGACCGTGGCACACCGCGCCCCCGCGAGGTGAGAAAGCCAGCACACACTTTTAGATTTGAAATTGGAGACTGGGTGAGACTCAGCAAGTCCAAGATGCGCCTTGAAAAAGGTTACACACCAAACTGGACCGACGAGCTGTTTACCATTTGGAAAAGAATCCCTCGGCATCCTCCCGTGTACCGTGTGAAAGATTATCAAGGAGAGGAGCTGAAGGGGACGTTTTATGAAGAAGAACTGCAAAAAGTTGCAAAGAAAGACGGCGACATCTATCAAGTGGAAGTCGTCCTTGACAAGAGACGACGCGGAAAGAAGACGGAATACTTGGTCAAGTGGAAAGGGTATCCTAGCAAGTTCAACAGTTGGGTGCGCGAAGAGGATATGCTACAAATATGATAAATACGGGCACTCCCCCAGGCGTCGGACATTACAGGACAGTGTCTCAATATGGCTGCGTCGTTTTATGTCACACTCCCGAGTGATGGGAGTATGGATGTTTACCCAGACAACACGTTATCTACCTACAGAACCAAATTATCACACCCCATCGAGCTGAAGGGAGACTGGGAGGTGTCCCTATCCGAAATCCAATATCCCCATAGCTGGATGAATGTTAGGGAAGGTGACAATACGCTTTTGTATTTTGTGGCAGACGAAACGATCGAAGGAGGAGGGAGAGAGTACGAGGTCATCACGGTCCCCAGCGGATACTACAAGAACATTTCACAACTAGTGAAGGTCCTGAACGAAGCGGCGGCCGTGCGATATGCCGACCTCTTCAAGCAGCACGACATGTTTGCCTATAACGCCATCGCGAAAAGAGTGACCATGTTTCTTCCGCCCTTGGTGGCCAACATCCCGACCACCAAGACCTACTTGACTGGGTCGTTGGCAGAAAGATTAGGGTGGAAGACAAAATCCTACATATCCGGCAGCTGGATACAGGCTCCACATCAACCAGATTTGAACGCCGGGCTCGAGTCGCTGTACGTGTACTGCGACCTGATTCACGCCCGGCTAGTGGGAGGGGTGAAAGTCCCACTGTTACGTATCGTTAAAGTACAGGGAGAAGATGATGCTGTGGTGGACCACGTCATTCACGTGCCTCAGTACCTACCACTGGCCAGGAGGCGCTTTGAGACGATCGAAATCAATATAACAGATCACTTTGGTCAACCTGTCCCATTTGAACGAGGGCGACTGATCGTGACACTTCATTTCAGACAGAGACGGTCGTCCTACTTCTCCTAAGATGATGGTGTATCGTGGTCGTTCTATACAGCGTGGATATGGGTTAGGAGGAATCTTTCGTGGACTATTCAGATCGGCTGTACCTCTTCTGAAGCGAGGGGCTAAAGCTGTGGGAAAACAGGCTTTAAGGAGTGGTATAGATTTAGCTCAAGACGTCTTTAACGGACAAGGGGTTAAACTCGCTGCTAAACGCAGGGCTGGTGAGTTGGGGCAACGATTGATGTCTGGCCCTCAGCAAAAAAGAGCAAGACCAGGTATAAAGTTGCCGCAACCGCGACAGAGCGCGAGGAGGGTGACAGCTGGGACGACTAAAGGCAAACAAACTTTAAAAAGGAAAAACCAACGAAAGGTGGCCAGTTTCGCGAAAGCCACCGGGCGCGGCAGACGTACCTCTCCCGACATCTTCGACTAGAGGAAGACATGGATCGCGTACATCCTAAATCGTGTTCTTGTACAAAGTCAGAACTCGAACTATTTGACATTCCGGATACACAGACAACCATTCTCGATGGTAGATGGGTAGAGCATCACCCTATCTCAACGCTTACCGAGATGTCCCCGATAGAATTCGACATTCCTGGAGCCGGAGAAGAGTACACGGACCTGAGTCAAACTCAGCTGTACGTGGGAGCCAAGATTGTCTGCGCTAATGGAGACGACCTGCCCGATGGAGAAAGAGTAGGACCGACCAACCTATGGCTCCACTCGCTGTTTCAGCAAATTGACGTCTCCCTGGGAAATAAGATCGTAACGGACTCCACAAATACCTATCCCTATCGAGCCTACTTCGAAAACCTGTTGAACTACGGAGAAGACGCAAAACAGACACAGCTGACCTCTGCCCTCTTCTACCAAGACACCCCTGGGCGCCTTCACATGGTAGACCCTTTCCCAACCGACCAAAACGCTGTGGTGAACACCGGGCTGGTAAAGCGAGCCACCATGACCCGGGGGAGCCGAGAGGTAGATCTCATCGGTCCTTTACACGTGGATTTGTTTTTTCAAGACCGTTACCTCCTCAACAAGGTAGATATGAAAATCAAGCTGCATCGATCCAAACATCAGTTCAACCTGATGTCGCCAGAGCAGAACAAACAGTACAAAGTCGTCATCACCGGAGCCGCCCTGTTCCTCCGAAAGGTCAACTTGCTATCAACCTATCAGCTGTCCATCGAAAACCGACTGAACAAAGAAAGTGCTAAGTACCCTCTGAAGAGAATCCAAGTAAAACCATTCACCATCCCTCAGGGAAACCACACTGTGTCCAACGACAACCTTTTCCTGGGTCAGATCCCCAAACGACTGGCCATCGCCCTGGTGAGCAACGTCGACTTCCAAGGGTCCTACGGGACAAATCCGTTCAATTTTCAACACTTCGACCTTAATTACATTAGTCTGTGTATCGATGGACGCCAGGTACCCCACAAAGCGCTGACGCCAAACTTTGAAGACGGTCATTTCATCAGGTCCTACTTCAACCTCTTCGGGCCTATCGGAAAGTTGGGGCAGGATTCCGGCAACCAGATCGCCAGAGACGCGTTTGATAAAGGGTACACCATCTACTGCTACGATCTCAGTCCAGACTTGTGCGGACTGGGAGGAGATCACTTCAACGTAATCAAGCAGGGGAACCTCCGACTAGAGCTTCACTTTGCCAAGGCTCTGGAACAGACGGTAGTTGCTCTGGTCTTTGCAGAGTTTGATAATCTCCTGGAAATCAACAGGCAGAGGATCGTCACCTTCGACTACAACAACTAAACATGGACACAAAACAGATCTACAGCGTGCTTGAAAGCGACGAGAACACGGCCCCCATCGCTCGCGGAGTCTTTGCAGCAGACCAACTACCTACAAATGTACCAGAGTACCCGAGCGCGTTCGTGGTAAACACAGACTGCAGTGGAAAGCCAGGACAGCACTGGCTGGCTCTTTACTTCGACGAGTCCATGCGGGGCGAATTCTTTGATTCCTATGGGCGCGCACCAAAAGATTACCCCCGCTCCATAGAGTTGTTTTTGCGTAGAAACTCTAGACTTCCGTGGATTCGTAACGAGCGTCAGATTCAATCAAGATGGTCGACTACCTGTGGACAGCACTGTCTGTTCTACCTCTTACATAGATGTAGACGTATTCCCTTAATGAGTATAGTCGATATGTTTAGCCGGAATCTAGAATTAAACGATGTATCCGTAGCTCAGTTTATAGAAGAACATTTTGATATCGGTGTTCCTGTCGTTGACCTGAGTCATATCATGAGCCAAGTCGCTCGCACCTTAGAAGACGTTTGTCGCACACTACGGTAGACAAGTTTGTCATTAGTTGTATACGTGCAGTTGAATACGTGAAGTTAACTATACTTATCATTGTAGTAGACGTAGAAGGTTGTAACGAATAAATGTTATGAAAACGTATATCTCGCGTTGCCTTTCATTCATGACGTATCAAGCCATCAATCGATCAATCACGCACACACGCACACGTACACTGACACACACCTGTCCTTGGTGCTGAACACCATTCAACACACACACACACACACGTACACTGACAAACAAGTAAGACAAGACTTGATCTATATTTCAATCACAGTGAACTTTATTTGGTAATATCGACGTGATCACTTCCACGCAGTTTCTGTGAAGGACTGTTTGGCAGACGAGGGAGGTTTCGCGACGAAAACTTTTGCCTTGCTTGCGGGAATCCGTTTAGGACCACGGCGTTGTGGAGGTCGAGGAGTCGGCACGATGTCTTCTTCCTCTTCTCCGCTTGAAAGAGTGTCACCGAGAGCAGCACGCGCCTTGTGTTTCTTAATCACAGCCAGTCGGGTTGGGTGTCTTATGGCTGCTTCAGGGGTGTTTATGCGTGCCAGCCCTCTGCTGAAGGCTCGCCATCCAATGGGGTTGAAATTCTGTCTCCGTTGAATCACATCTCTTAAGAGATCCGAGATCTGGGATCCGGGAACTACTTTCTTATCGTAGAGAAGCTCTCCGTGTTGGTTGTAATCGAGAATGTCCCCTCCCTTGTGTTTGATGACGTTGAGCAACTGTTGGGCACGCGCTTTCATGTTTTTTGGGAAAGCCGCCAATATGGTCTTGTCTTCTTTACCGGTAGGCGAGGCGGTGCTGGGAGAGGTGGTGGTGGTGGACCCTTCATCTTTAGCGACATTGTTCTTAGCGGTGACGGTGGCAGCAGGGGTGGAGTTCGACGTTACCAACCTGACGCTGACTGGCTCGGCTCGTCGTTTGTCTCTGTACGTGAGATAACGCTGAAGAAGCTGTTGGTACAGGGTTGCCTTCTCGTCATCGCCTAAATCTTGGCGCGACATCACCTCTTGCATTTGACCGTCCACACTTAAAGCCGATTTAACCAGTGGGGTCATCTCTTCCTGTTGTTTGGCCTGGATCGTGGAAAGCAATTCTTGAGGAACAAGGGCCATCTTTCTGCCGTACTCCATGTCGCACTTGGTTATTTCTTCCCACCAAACAGAGACGTGATGGCCGAAATGATCGGACTGAGCAACAGGGACAGGAACCCGCCCTTTTGTATTAATGTCTGTCTTTTCTTGGACAGTGGAATTTTCTTGTCACCGAGCGCGCGTAGAGTGCTCTTGTGTCGGGACAGTCCTTTCTTTTGTCCTGGTGTGAGACGGATGTTTCCTTTCAGGACGTTATGTGAACAGTCGCAAATCGACTTTAGAAGATCGTTTGGGGCTGTCGATAGAATAGCTTTCCGCAATTTGGGGTTGGCTTTGCTCAGGACGCGAAGACAGTCTGCGTGACGGTGTAGTCTCTGTGACATCTCGACTCGTTGTGACAGCTGAGAGTGGTCGACACGGCGTTTTATTATTTCCTCAGGTACACGTAGGGTTGAGGGGTGAGCATACCGCTTCTTACACGCAACTCAATAGGTGATTCCGGATGCAGGTCAAGGAACAAATGACCGTGAGTCTTCTTATTGACGGCGTCCTCGTAACATTCTTGTAGGAATTTGCTATGTCCGGGGAACATCTGCTTGGCCAGTGTAGTAACCATACTCTGATCTCTGGGAGACTTAAACAGGACGATATAACTAGAGTTAAGACTGATCGTTCTGAGACCCTGGTAGAATAGGTTTTGCACTAACAAGAAAACCGATATGCCTCTGTGACGGCTGGCCCGAGTGAATAATTTTGTGACCTTATCACCCTTTGCTACCTCTTCCATTTGATCATCAATTACAATAGCGTTACGACATCCCGGCTTCGTAACGTCATTCCAGTTTTCAGGAAGACCTTCTTGAAACTGAATCTTTGACCCCAGTTTAGAGCTCAGCTCTGTCATAAGGCTCTCCTGGTATTCTGAATAACACCACACCACGTGTTCGAACGGTCCTGGATCTAGCCATTCGGTTCCTGCTGTTAACAGTTTTTGTACAAAATAAGACTTCCCTGAGCCACTACACCCACTTAACATAACGCGACATGGTAGCTTTAACTGAACATTCATCTTCACAAATGACACTTACGGAGTGCGACCCCTTCATTTATACCATGATATTTCTCTCTCTCTCTCTCTCTCTCTCTCTCTCTCTCTCTCTCTCTCTGTTACATCTGACAGTCAACTCAGCCATACCGATCAGAAACAAGAAACAATATTCGTGTGACGAAATATCGTGTTTATTTACATAATATCATGCCGCTATGTACATAGATACGATACATACTTTACACACACGTGTAGGGTGTTACACAATATCTTATCATATGTCTAAGGGCAGAGTCGTGACACCGTCATCTTGCACTTTTCGTTTTGGATAGAAATACGAAAAAGCTGCCCTTATCTGTGTATACGTAAACATTTGATTGGCTATCGCTCTGAACCCCCTGTTCACACCCTGACCACTTTCCTTAGTTTTCAAGACTTTAAGATATTTCTGATAATTTATGTCGTTACCTCTCTTGCTAACACCCTTACAACTGAATTTGTCATTTTTGTCCTCCCCACCAAAACAGTAATACGTTTTGGAACACAATCCAACAATTCCATCCCCTGCCCATTCTTCCTTAAAAAGACCGGGAGTGCGCTTGTCGTACGCCGCGTTTTCTGGCGTGTCTGTACGAGGGAACCAAAGGTGTTTCTCGTTTTCGTACCTCTCCCGCATGTGAGGTTTGATAACATCCTCCAGCCTGTCTGCGGATATTGCTATGTAGGCTGAGTCTGTATCCATTTCGCAATATTGGAAATCGGAGACGTCTACAAACTCAAGCATAAAGTCAAAATAAAACTGCAACATTCTTAGTTTCGCATACTGATAGACAAAGAATCCAATTTGGAGAGGCAAGTCCAATTTGATGGTTGCCTTAGAACTCTGAACTTCGTAGAAGTTTTCCGTGACTTCCCAAAGTTGGCGAAAGCAAGGCGAATTAATCGCCCGCGTGGTAGAGACCACATCTCCAAAATATTCCACTTTCAACTGTTTCTCTTTGTTAGTGACCGTCTTGCCATAAGCAGAATTACCTATCAATTTCATAGTCTCGGCTATGACTTTCTTTCTGTCGTCTCTATCACCTTCCCGCCTGGCATTGCTAACTGCTTCGACGAAAGGTTCGAAACACCTTTTGGGGATGTATTCCAGAACTTGATAGATGTGTTCCACAACCAACCCCTTTTCCAAATACCATTTCAGCAGAGGTGTCGCCAACAAGATCTTTTGACCGAACATACTGCCAATGAGAGAACGTCTGGGTCTGGACATGACGCCATGTGTTTCGGCGTACTGTTTCATGTGGTCGCCAATGTCGCCGATGGAAATGTCGACGTTCTTAAAGATGGGACACATTTCTGCAAAATTAGTCTTCAGAACCCAACGCACGAATACATCACATTCTACGACACCAAAAAAATTATCCTGACGGATAGCATCAAGGATGTCATCCTGTGTTAGTTTTACTTTGCATTCAGTCGGTGTTTTGCGGCTGGCCAAAAAATCCTTCAATGCCTGGTCTGTTTTTTGCAATTTTTGCCAATCGCATTCCCACATTTCAGTCACCTGAAAACCTTCTCTCTGCAGATATTGTGTTGTTAGTTTTGTTTCTAACCGAAGTTCGAATTTCGTTTTACCTCTGAAATCATACTTCGCCTTCTCGGTCAAATGGCAATCATGGCCGTGCCAGTAGCACCCGTGGAATTGAAAAATCTGCCCGGTTTGAGAACAGAAGCCATCCACTGGGATTCGGCGGTGCCCTATACGTTTTTCTGTATTGTTAAACTTGTGTCTTATGGCGATACCATACTTGTGAGCCACCCAATCTAACCAAGCTTTTGCCATACGACCACGAGAAGAAGCGGAATACTCTTTCACGAAGCCGGTTTCTGCCTGTCGCCGAATGTAATATTCTGTTGGCATCTGTTGTCCGACTGCATAAAGATACAAGGCGTTAGCGTCAAAACCAATCACCTTTTGACAAGGTTTAGGTAGCCTGCTCTGACCTGCCATCTCGCGTTCCCTTATCATAGTTACTCCCTTCTGATGGTGTCTATGAAATATTATGCTAGGCCCTCCAACAATATTCTCTTTAAACAATTTGTATACCTCTTCATTATCAGGCAAAGTGAAAAAAGTGTCACTACCCAAGTTCTTAAACAAATATTTTAGGGTGAGTCCTGGTACACTAATCCCGTCCTTCAGCATGTCGAGCCCCAGGTCTTTGTAGAAGTCAACCATCTTCTGGATCGCTTCTAACATCGGCTGGACATCTTTGTTGTTGTACCTGCAGGAAAAGACACACACACACATTACATATATCGGTCATGTTTGTAAGCTGTAAACCTGAAAGAACAACCCATGGAGAACGTGACGAGACATACACTCACCATATCAGAAAATCCTTCATGGTCTCCATGCCGCATTCTTCCCAGACCGCCTGACAGTGGGCGTAGTCCTCTGGAGAAATGTGTGTCCCGCGCAACTTGCTGTAGAAGGCGTCGGCGGGTGGAAGGCTTGTCTGCTCCAACTTACTCAGGTCATCCATCCATTCGTACCTGCATTTAACGTAAAAGGAAAGCAACACGTAGTTTGTTTATGTGGTACACAAGCATAGAAAGAAACAACGCACAAAGTTAATGGTACACAAGCATAGAAAGAAACAACGCACAAAGTTAAACAACATGAAGAACATGAAAAAGACCATGAATCTGCTCATAAACAACTTACGGAAAGACTCCCTTCATCTCCTGGCACTCGTACGCCTTGAGAAGATGTGAATAGGAAAATCCCGGGGCTAGGAAGTTGACTAAGTCCACAAAGTTGAAGTCTTCAGTTGCAATCGACATGTAGCTGTTGCCTTTTTTAATGACTCGTAGGTTGGTTTGAGTTTCAAGAAGGGAAGGAAGAAAAAATTTCTTCATGGCATTTACATCATATTTCCCTGAATTGAATCCAATCACAGGTACCTGTCTAAGATGTTTTTCTAGTTCTTCAAGCATCTTCGTTAGGTAATGTTTCTTGAGTTTTGAGTCCTTATCCGTCCTATCCAATGGCGGTTTGTTTCTCTCCTCCTGTTCCATTTGCTCAATGTCTTTTTGTCTTTTGTCTAGGATCTCGTTGAAAACCCACCCAAAGGTCTCTCGCAGTGTTTTGTATGCATGATGACTGATTTGTTCTATGTACGCAAGGAAGTCTTCAGCAACAACTTTGGGTTCGCCGTCTGAAACAAAACACTTAGGGGTCGTGAATCCTGGTACATTGGAACTGACGCTGACGCTTAAGAGCTCATGCACCGCCTCCCAAGTCATTTTTTCCGAGTTTTGCTCGGCCAGTGGTTTCAGGAGACACTCAATGTCCCATGTCACCCGGTAGGGGTAAATGCGCTGTTCCCTTGGAATCGAAACCCCTTCATCTTGAAGTTTGTCAAATATGTTTGATGTTAATTGAAAAGCTCCGCCAGGATAAACAAAACTCGTAGAGCCCGTACACTGTCTCTGGTGTACCATGAGATGCCCGTGGTGCGTAAACTTTCTCGAACAAACCTGACAAGACCAAGATTTTGAGTATGAATTAAAGTCTTTGATGTAGCTGAGATGGTTTGCGTATAAATTCAGATACATCGTATCTTGGAACTTCATCACCGGCCGCCTTACTAACTCCGCAAACACAGATCCGTCTGTGTCTTTTCTCAAACTGTAGACATAGATGTTCGTGTGAAACAGCGCTTCCAGGACGGTTAGTTCACCCAATGTCACCCCTTTGAACTCTTTCCGTGTCTTCCCCGAGAATTCCAAATAAGCTTGGAAAAGTTCTTTCGCTGGTTTCTCTATGTTTCTGTGCCAAGCCCCTGCTCTGTGCACCGCCAAACATCTGAAGAAGCATAGATTATCTTTGTATTGTCCATTGGATCCAGAGTCAAGCCCGATAATGGCGCGGCTGTGGCGGATAAAGTCTGGTAACTCATCAAAAGCGCCTATAGGGTGATCTGTCAGCTTGTCGACGTAGAAAGTTACGTTTGTCAAAATATGTACCACCCATTTAGAATCGGGTCGGGCTTGTCTCGCGATTTCAAGTATGTCAATCTCGGTTATCGCTTGTAAGAACCTCTCCATATCTGCCACATTTTCGATCAACATTGGCGCGTCTAAGAATGCGTTGTTCCTGTCATGTGGGTAAAAATACCGAAGCTCTCCCGATTCGTTATTGAGCAGGATAAAACCAAAAGATAGATTTATTTTAAAAGCCGATCTTTGGTCTTGGAATATACCCGTCGTCATTTCTCTGAGGTCGTTGTCGTTGTTAAAGGCAAGACGGAAGTTGTAGCGGTCTCTTATCGCGTTTCCTGTGTTGAAATGACTTCTAATCTGGGGCCATTTCTCTCTGTACAAACGAACGAACGTTGGGTCAGTTTGTTCCTGCTCTGGGGTTATTAAGGCTGCTTGTGGATCTTCCTGAAAGAGAGGGGGCCGTCCGGATTGTGGGCTGTCCGCTTGTTCAACTCTTGGTGTGTCAATCTTACTAGCGCCTGACCTCCTAGTTGACAAGTCTAGGGGTTCATTCTCAGTCGGACCTAGGCTACCGCTTCTTGATAGGTCAAGTCGTTCTTCTTGAAAGTCGGCTGGTATATTGTCGTCTTGTAAAACGCGATGGTTTGTAGCCTGCTCTTTGGCCGAAGGTTTACGACGTCGCACACTTTGCGAGAAATTGGGTGGTCTGTGGTTAACTTGGTGCCGTCTTAAACTGTCTGGACGGCTGAACGAGATACCACACAAATGACATCTGTGCGATTTGTGTGTATGGCTATGAACAGTTCTATCGTGCCTCTCTCTGTTATACGCACTTACGAAAGACTTTCCACAAATGTTGCAGATAAAAGCCATGATGTCTTTTGCTTCAGCTGCAGAAACGAGAGAAACTACACGGTAATTTCCTCCGTTTCATCAAACAACCAAGCACAACACACAACAACGATCATCTATTGTTACACGATTAACTATTCATTGTTGTACGATAATCACATCTTTTGTTCGCCATAACAGTCTGTTTATAAAAGCATTGTGCGGTGATAAAACACATCTTTTCACAGCAAATCTGTTGACAAGAGGATTTCACCTATCTGCTTGTTAACATCGAATTAGCAACAATGCACCGCTATTAACTCTGCCGTCGTGTGGTGATAAACACATCTTTTGTTCGCGAGGAGACCAACACAATAAGATTATACTGCAGCCACGCGCCGAAGAATACAGAACACTTACCATGTATCAACAAGTCGGTATTGGTGCTGGTAGCGGCCCAGAACAGCCCTCTTGCATCGCTGGGTGACCGGTCTGTCTTACGACAGAATTATCCGCCTTTTATCCTATCTTAGCAAGCTCATAATTCCAAAAAAGGTAGTGACCAATCACCGATGATTTCGAAAACCTGCTGACCAATGAGCAGTCAGCGCGCAGATTATTCCTCTGTCTAATCCTGGGGGACGATGCTTCTTTTTCTCACAAGGAAATACATACATATTCAAGCTCAAAATCTCCAGATCCCATTGTCATAAATGACCGTTTTAATAATCCCTTTGTTCCTTAAATTGAAAGGGGAGTTGTAACTCCCAGCGCGCTCGTTGTCGTCTGTTTTTCGCACGGTAACCGCCACAAGACATTCTCTCTCTCTTGTTATTTTAATGAAATGAGTCGGCCCAAATCACTTTCCCACAAAACGAAAGGCAAATGACAGACATCTTATACTCTATGTCAACACAATACTCAACACACACACACACACACACAAACACTCCCTAATACCGCTACAGGTCTATTGTGTGATTTCAACCCGTGTGTGTGTGTGTTTGTGGTTTTTCTTGTTTTGAAACAAAGCTTGTCCTCAAATTCCGGCATTGTTTTCGGTTTTGCTAATCCTTTTGTTCTCTTAATAAAGACGAGTCTGGGCCAGATTTTCTCAGACGAACCCCCATTAATATTCATAAACACCGTTTTAATTCTCTTGTTCTTTTAATGAAAGTGGCCCATAATCACCGTTTATCCTCTTGTTATTTCAATCAAGACCCTTTTGTGAAAGACCCCTTACTGTCAAACGGACGCGTGTGTTCCTAATGGGTCTTTTAATTCACACGGCAATATTCATGAAGAAACCATAATCTCCCTTTTGTTCTTTTAATTAAATGGTCCCAAGACACTTTCCCATGTGTCCAGGTGTTATACCTTAAATTGAAAGGGGAGTTTTAAACTCCCAGCGCGCTCGCCATCTGGACAACCGCAACAATATTCATGAAGAAACCACAATCTCTCTCTTGTTATTTTAATGAAATGGATCGCCCAAATCACTTTCCCACAAACGAAAGGCAAATGACAGACATCTTATACTCTATGTCAACACAATACTCAACACACACACAAACACTCCCAAATACCGCTACAGGCCTATTGTGTGATTTCAACGCGTGTGTGTGTGAAGGGTTTTTCTTGAATGATACAAAGCTTGTCCTCCGCCATTGTTTTCGGTTTTCCTAATCCTTTTGTTCTCTTAATTAAGACAAGCACTGGCGCAGATTTTCTCAGACGAATTCGCATCAATATTTATAAACGCCTTTTTTTATTCTCTTGTTATTTTAATGAAAGTGGCCCATAATCACCGTTTATCCTCTTGTTATTTCAATCAAGACCACTTTGTGAAAGAACTCTTACTGTCAAACGGACGCGTGTGTTCCTAAGGGACATTTAATCCAATTAAGGGAAATTCTACGATAAAAGACAGGCGCGAGGTGTGCCCCACAGAAGCCTGCCCAGAAGCCACAACCAGCGTCATGTCGGACAACAGCCACCAACCAGCCGCCTCTACAGAGTTAACTTCCGCCGGGCCTAACACCGTGTCTACCCCCGTACACAGGATGACTTACCCCGATATCGATATGACAAACCTGGACATGGCTCAGCTGACTGACGATGATGACAGAAGCTTAGTCAATTTTCTCTTGGGGGAGCTTGGGGAAACCCATGAGGCCTACCTTGACTTCCTGGCCGCCAGCTTAGGTGAGTTGTTGTTTGTTTTCTTTTTTGCGTTTCTTGGGGAACTGGGTGTCAGAGACAACTGAAGGGTCTGGGCAGAGAACAGATCATCTTGGCGGGACCTTTGCCGGACTGTAGCCGCTATGCGTAAGACCATGATGCCCGCCGCGGATTTACTGATTGATTTGTTTCTTTGTCCCGCGTGGGAAACTTGTCAACGCTATCGTTCCATCGTTACATGTCTATTCTTTCTTTATTTTGTCCTCAGACGAGGAGACTATACAGTCGTTAGACGATGTGATGGCGAGCGACTTGGCCAGCCTTGGAGCTGGCAATACGGACGCCCTGGTTGATAGCTGTAAGTCGATATATGATAGTTGTCGCTTCTTAAGTCCTGTCACATCAACTTGGTAGTAGTGGCTAGCGATACAATATTGTGGTTGTGTGTTTATCCAGCCGGCGCTGGACCCAGCAGGCTGTCCGAGCCTCCCGCCGAAGACATGGAGCATTCTGACGCGCAACAAGTAATTGAAACTCTAGCGCCAATTACGCTAGAAGCTTGGGACAGCGCCGGTTTTGAAGGTACACGGGCCAGTGTTATTTCGTTGATGCACATTTACAAACATAACTCGTTTGTAAGCGTAGCCTGTTATTTCATTATTTATTTATTTATTTTTTGGCTAGATTCCCAACAAGAACCACAGTGGGCCTGGTTTTTAGATGGAGCCAGTCAAGACGTACAAGACCAACCAATGTCTGATAGCCCGCCGGAGTTCGCGATGGACGCCGAGACCCAGACTGCGGGACCGGAGAGCGTCGTGGACGTGGGGACCCAGACAACGACGCCGGAGACTCCGCTTGACCTCCGACTGAAGAGGCCCGCCGATGCCAATTGGGGCTGCCCTGGCGCTCCCCCGGCAAAACGACACAAGTTTGCAAAAAAATGAAATAAAGAGTAAATAAAGATCATTAAAATAAAATGATATCAAACAAATGCTTGTCTACGACCAGCTGTTTCATTGTTGTCCCGCCGTGTCCGCGTGTGTGTGTGTGTGTGTGTGTGGTGTAAACTGCTCGATCAAGATAAAATAGTGGTGTTAATAATTACAGTGCTAAGTACCAACAATAATAATAATAAGAATAATAAGCCGATTAGCATACAAACCGTAAACTGTTAAACAAACCTAAAGTAACACAGTCAAATCAAACTCAAACATACACAACCTACCCTTAAGTAACGATGCCGCCCGACACGACCTCCCGCGGCGTCTGGTATGCCACATTGACCTTCACGTGACCTCTACACCTCCGAGGGACTACACCTAGTCTGCGCCACTGTACTCCGCCACATAACAGGTGGAGGAGCGCCGCAAATAATACCTATCCTGTCCATAACATACTACTTAGGTTTTGCACGAAAAAACCGACCAAATTTTTTTTATACGTATAATGTGCGGAAATTTTTTTAAAAGGTCGGGAGTATTTTTCTTGCACTTCTAACACCTCAGAGGGACGTTAGGAATGCAAGAAAATTTTTTCCGACCATTTCCAAAAGAAATAGCGACTTTGTTAAAATTCGCCTGTATAACGCGTTTCAGGCTCTAAATCATAGGTTTTGCACGAAAAAAACCGACCAAATTTTTTTATACGTATAATGTGCGGAAATTTTTTAAAAGGTCGGGAGTATTTTTCTTGCACTTCTAACACCTCAGAGGGACGTTAGGAATGCAAGAAAATTTTTTCCGACGATTTCCAAAAGAAATAGCGACTTTGTTAAAATTCGCCTGTATAACGCGTTTCAGGCTCTAAATCATAGGTTTTGCACGAAAACAACCGACCAAATTTTTTTTATACGTATAATGTGCGGAAATTTTTTTAAAAGGTCGGGAGTATTTTTCTTGCACTTCTAACGCCTCAGAGGGACGTTAGGAATGCAAGAAAATTTTTTCCGACCATTTCCAAAAGAATAGCGACTTTGTTAAAATTCGCCTGTATAACGCGTTTCAGGCTCTAAATCATAGGTTTTGCACGAAAAAAACCGACCAAATTTTTTTTATACGTATAATGTGCGGAAATTTTTTTAAAAGGTCGGGAGTATTTTTCTTGCACTTCTAACACCTCAGAGGGACGTTAGGAATGCAAGAAAATTTTTTCCGACCATTTCCAAAAGAAATAGCGACTTTGTTAAAATTCGCCTGTATAACGCGTTTCAGGCTCTAAATCATAGGTTTTGCACGAAAAAAACCGACCAAATTTTTTTTATACGTATAATGTGCGGAAATTTTTTTAAAAGGTCGGGAGTATTTTTCTTGCACTTCTAACACCTCAGAGGGACGTTAGGAATGCAAGAAAATTTTTTCCGACCATTTCCAAAAGAAATAGCGACTTTGTTAAAATTCGCCTGTATAACGCGTTTCAGGCTCTAAATCATAGGTTTTGCACGAAAAAAACCGACCAAATTTTTTTTATACGTATAATGTGCGGAAATTTTTTTAAAAGGTCGGGAGTATTTTTCTTGCACTTCTAACACCTCAGAGGGACGTTAGGAATGCAAGAAAATTTTTTCCGACCATTTCCAAAAGAAATAGCGACTTTGTTAAAATTCGCCTGTATAACGCGTTTCAGGCTCTAAATCATAGGTTTTGCACGAAAAAAACCGACCAAATTTTTTTTATACGTATAATGTGCGGAAATTTTTTTAAAAGGTCGGGAGTATTTTTCTTGCACTTCTAACACCTCAGAGGGACGTTAGGAATGCAAGAAAATTTTTTCCGACCATTTCCAAAAGAAATAGCGACTTTGTTAAAATTCGCCTGTATAACGCGTTTCAGGCTCTAAATCATAGGTTTTGCACGAAAAAAACCGACCAAATTTTTTTTATACGTATAATGTGCGGAAATTTTTTTAAAAGGTCGGGAGTATTTTTCTTGCACTTCTAACACCTCAGAGGGACGTTAGGAATGCAAGAAAATTTTTTCCGACCATTTCCAAAAGAAATAGCGACTTTGTTAAAATTCGCCTGTATAACGCGTTTCAGGCTCTAAATCATAGGTTTTGCACGAAAAAAACCGACCAAATTTTTTTTATACGTATAATGTGCGGAAATTTTTTTAAAAGGTCGGGAGTATTTTTCTTGCACTTCTAACACCTCAGAGGGACGTTAGGAATGCAAGAAAATTTTTTCCGACCATTTCCAAAAGAAATAGCGACTTTGTTAAAATTCGCCTGTATAACGCGTTTCAGGCTCTAAATCATAGGTTTTGCACGAAAAAAACCGACCAAATTTTTTTTATACGTATAATGTGCGGAAATTTTTTTAAAAGGTCGGGAGTATTTTTCTTGCACTTCTAACACCTCAGAGGGACGTTAGGAATGCAAGAAAATTTTTTCCGACCATTTCCAAAAGAAATAGCGACTTTGTTAAAATTCGCCTGTATAACGCGTTTCAGGCTCTAAATCATAGGTTTTGCACGAAAAAAACCGACCAAATTTTTTTTATACGTATAATGTGCGGAAATTTTTTTAAAAGGTCGGGAGTATTTTTCTTGCACTTCTAA